GCTTTACCGATGGTAGAGAAGAGCATCTTGTCTTATTGTTGATTCAATGACCACCTTGATGTTCTCTACTCCATATGCAGCACTGATGTTATTGTTGTCTTCTATCAGATTGATGCTGCTAGAAGGAAGGTTTTGTCAGTAAAGCAGTGTTGGCAGATTTGTTGAAATCAATTCTTTTTCCACAATTTTTTCAACCATTCTTCATGTTCATTTAGGATTATATATCAATATTCTGCACATTGTTCTTTCATCTTGTATCAAAATTTTGTCATTATATTTGAATTCTCATACTAGTTTGTTTAAATTTTTTATTTTTTATTTTTTATTTTTATTTATTTTTATTTTTTTTATCAGCTTTCTCTATAGTTATCCCTTGTAATATTGCCTCTTAACTTCAGTTCCTAAACTTCTACTTGGTCGAATCCCGAGTTAATATGCTAACGAGTGATATCCAAAATGTTCTTATTTTGAGTGTTGGCTTACTATGCTAACAAGAAATTGTAAATGAGCTATTCCACCAATTCTTTCTCTGTCTCCCATCATCTAACGGAGTCCATGGCCACATATTTACCCTGGAGAGGTGTTACATTCCCATGAAAGGAAACGCTTTCCACTGCTTTGTAAATAAGGTGCAATTTTCCAGTTGTTCTCTCATGCCAAAGAAGCTAGAGAAATGCCTCAGGCAGCAGTTTCAATATAGACTCTTGGACAATTATTTGGAGACCTCAAACAGAGATATGATTACAAACGAAGTTAACTTGAAGCACTTTTTATATTCTCATTCTTAATAAATCTACTACCGAATTCTTTAGCCCCTCATTTTCCGAGAATCAAAAAGATTGTTTTCAAGTTTGAATTTGTTCATTTGAAATATGGGATACAAATTGACAAGCATAAAATGCACATATCATATCTATTAATTAATTTATGTTCATTTATGATAAATAAATGGTTTATTTATTGGTGGACAAACGAAGGAAAGTTAGAACTGAATGATCTAAAGCACTATTTTTTCATTCAATTTCACCTCAGGACATAGCCGCTTTCTTGTGGCCAGCATGTCTTGATTTCTACAGCCTAATTATGGGTTGTTAAAAATTTTGGACAAAAAGTAATTTTTTTATAAAAATTATAATCAAAAGTAGGAAAAAAATAAGGAGTTATATGTTATTTTACTAGAAGAACTTGCAATAATAATGAATTTGAGGAAAAAAATCTAAAAGGCCACCAGCATTGAACCTGCAGTAATTATTTTATCAGTCCGCAAACAGTGATAAATTCTTTTTCAATTACCACACGCTGATAAAACAAGATTTTCAGCTCCACTCGACCTCAAAACCAGGTGCTAGTGGGTTGTTTTTGGGTGCTATAGTTAGCAAGAATTATCCCATCTCTCAAACAATATCAAAAGAGGAAGGACAATTTTAGGTGCACAATATATACACAATACATTACATTCCTCACGGTGGAGGGACGCACGTACAATAAAATATTAATGGGCTCGTAATCCTATGCACACCATCAAGTGCATAAATAGAATTATCCAAAGAGGAGTTAACCTCTGTTTCTGTACTAAATTCTGGACTGGGCAGCTTAGTACCATATTGAATTACTCAGTCTTATTCAAACCTTTGGGTAACACTCAAAACTGTTTGGTATGTATTCTGTACCATATCCTGATTTTTGGTTTCTCAACATTTTTACTACACTGTTTGTTGCTCTGCTTGTGAAATTTGAGTTTCAAGAATACTTCAAAATCATGTCTTTATTTAGGGATTAGATGGTTTCATAGATGTATTATTACCTTTTTTGGTTTGTGTCTGAGATTTGTGGCCTTTTTTTTGTTCTGTCACAGTTTTGCTTCGAAGCATGTGGTCTGTAGTGGGCAAAGCTCGAGTTTTGAAGGTGGCGCAGCTGTGGCTAGAGGCTTTTGTGGGCGTTTGTCGGTGGTAGTGGCGGACAGGCCACTAGGTATAGTGGTGGTGGCAGCCTCTGGTACTTAAGTTGCTGCGATTGGGGTTGTAAGGAGGTTGCGGTGGTGGTGTCTACTGGTGGAAATAGAGGGTTTTGAACATTTGTAAAATTACCAACCTCACCATTGAAATTGTAACTGACATGGAAAAAGAGTTGCAAGGGTTTGGCTATTCCATGACTGGGAGATTATTACAGAAAAGAAGGTGGTTTGATAAAACCTCTGCATTACCATTTCCCTGCATCCATGACTCTTTGAAGTCAATTTGACCACTTCAATTCAGGAACCGCAAATTAATACTGGCTATATTAATCTCCTAATCTGGAAGAACCATACCCTTCCCTCTATTGCAGCCTTCTTACCATGTTCAGTCACGAATTTAAATGGTCAGAGGTTAGTAGTTTCAAATGTTCAAAACCTGATATTTTCACCTCATCCATATCAACTGGTTCCATTGTCACATGTTTCCTGGAGAGTGGACAGCGTTTTTTTGGCAGTTAATTCTCTGTCTCGATAAAGGAGGTAATTAGCAGTAATAAGATTTCTATGTTTACACTTGTAATAACTGAGCTTCAAACCGGACAAATTTTTTTTGTTGTTTCATTCATGGACAACTTCTATGATGCACGGACATGGACGCATGATTTCAAAAAAGTACCGACACATTGACTAAATCCTTTAAAACTCTTCATTTATATTGTATAAATTTTGTTTTATGCTTGTCATTAATATTTTTTGATGAAATCTTTCAAATCTAAATGCCTATTTGTTATTTACTAATAACATTTAGGTAAAAATGTATAATATTAATAAAAAAGAAAAATAATCATGGTAAAGTATTCGAGGAGTGTCGGTGTCGAACACGTGTCGGACAATGACACGCTATCTTAGTTGAAGTGTTCGTGCTACAGAGGATAACTTAATAAGGAAGCAATCAGTTTTGAAAATTTTAATTAACTTTATTAGTTTCCGCAACCAGCTGTTGTTACCGAAACTAGTTTTGCACTTGTTTAGATGGCTCACCAGTGAAGCTTATCCTCTGGCCTTTCGATTCTACTGCTTTTCAGATTGAGAAACTTATCTTTTTGCCATCTTCGTGGTCTATTAAACAAACGAAGAGGTAGTACCGACACTGATGGAATCCTGCCAGTTGCCTAGTTTGCTAATTGATACAATCTGGTTAGAAACAATGAAAGTTGCAGCTCACTTCAGAAATGGATTTGGTACTAAGAGATGTTGATGGCATCTGGGCAAGCTCTACAGGCACTACTGAAGAATCCGTTGCCGGCTTAAATTTGACTGAAACCAGAGACCTCTTTGATGTAAATAACTTGGTGGTTTGGCAATCCTTTACATTTCACTGATACTTAGGTTCCTAGACAGAAACTAGAATTGGGGCGGAAGTTGATGGCAAATGATTTAGCAGGAGACTGAACTCAAAGATAAATTCTCTCTGTCTACGGCTGAAGAAGAATAAAATTTCATAATACAATTGAACCCCCACAAGTCTATAATCAGTGTTACCAAATAGAAAAAAGAAGCAAGTCATGTCATGTTTCTAAATGGAAGTTTAGCTTTGTATTTCTGTTCTGCTCTAGTGAAGGTTCTTGATCTATTGATAACTTCCTTAAAATATCTCAGCTCAATACTTTTAGTTGGTTTCAGATGGGCACCTGAAATTATAGGAACATAATCTATTTTGGAATGAGGTGGCTGATATTTTTACAGATTATACAGCTACGTGTGGTTATTCTATGCTTCACGGAAATTATTTCATTTTCTCTCACTGGTTTTGTAGTTGTACTAGATCAAGGACTGAAGTCACTCCTCTGATTTGTGTTGCTTCTCCCAATCACAGATTCGTAGAGCTTAAGGATGCCAACTACATTATGGGAAATTCTGAACAGCAACAACTGAACTCCTCTGCATTTTCAAAGACACAGATTGCTCCAAGTGCCTCTATTCGGATCTTAAAGAGGTATGATCTCTATAGATCTTGTGATTGTATTGTAAGTTCCATTACTCCGTAGACATTAAATGCAGATGTCGGGGCGGATTAGTTGTTGCACCTTTTGGCATAGATCAATCTAGACCATTAGATCACGACATTTCAGATGGGGACAAAATATACGCAGTTCAAATCACATCATTAACATGATGGACTTGACCTTCTCTTACGTGGAAAGTGTGCCTCTAAAGAGACCAATTCGATGTGCACGGTTGGACCCCGGCCAGCCCTTGCTGTCGAAGCACCACTCTTGTGGCTGCCAAGCTAGCTGACCTTAGCTAGGTTGTAGCTAGGGAGATGTATTAAATTATATCTAATTAGAAAGTGCAACACTTATATTAAGGACACTTTAAAGCTTACCAACATGGGCATTTTGAAGACTTGTTACAATTCCCTCAATTATCTATATAGCCAACTTAATAAACCATTGTACTCATCTCATGACACGGATTAATTAACACCATTTATCACACATGGGATTCACCTAAAAGGTCTCTCAAAGTTGGCATAATAAATGGCTATAAAATGCATTTATTCTACCTATCGTAGAAAAATAAAGAACGGCTTCTTTATTTTTCGATTTCTTCCGATCACTTAATGTGTGGTCGAAATCAATTTTCTACTGTTTACACATATCTACACTGAGCCCTGAGATAGTAAGAACATAACGAAAAGCAGTACGCAAGAGTTGAGAAGCGGAGATATTGCATTACTCAGTTGATGTATGTTGTGCAGTTGTTCTCTTAATTTAGGCCTGGAAAATTTTTAATTGGGTTTGGTTTAGGCTGAAGAAGCTAGAGATGTGTCTCAGGCAGCAAGGTTTCAATGGAAACTCCTATGGATTGTGAAGACCTCAAAGAGTTTGAGATGTCCAGGCTTATCAGTTTCTCTAATGATATTGTGCCTAGTGTAATGCCCTTCATCCACAAATCTGTACAGAACTATGGTAAGTTTGGGGGAAAAAAAAACACCTCTAATTTATTTAAATTGTTTCATAAATTACATTATATACAATGAAATCAGGTTATATGGAAACATTTGGTATGAGGAATTTTGTGTTTGTTGTTGAAACTATACCATATAAATTTGAGAAAAAAAAAGAATTAGATTTCTGTCATCAAGATTTTGCAGCTGAGTATTTGACAGTTTGTAGGTATAACTTCAACATTCATCTAAATTAAGAGTTATCAAGTTCTCTTCCTACTGCTTCATAAATAAGTTGCATAATATATTTCTGATACTTTAATTGCCTAATCATCTGCTGTAGACTCGAAGTTACTTTTCTGGGACGGGGTGGTTTTTGTATTTAGATATCTTGATAAAT